CCAAAAAAAAAAAAAAAAAAAAAAGGATTAAAGACATAAATGTAAGGCCAGAAACTATCAAACTCTTAGAGGAAAACACAGACAGAACACTCTATGACATAAATCACAGCAAGATCCTTTTTGAGCCACCTCCTACAGAAATGGAAATAAAAACAAAAATAAACAATTGGGACCTAATGAAACTTAAAAGCTTTTGCACAGCAAAGGAAACCATAAACAAGACCAAAAGACAACCCTCAGAATGGGAGAAAATATTTGCAAATGAAGCAACTGACAAAGGATTAATCTCCAAAACATACAAGCAGCTCATGCAGCTCAATACCAAAAAAACAAACAACCCAATCCAAAAATGGGCAGGAGACCTAAATAGACATTTCTCCCAAGAAGATATACAGATTGCCAACAAACACATGAAAGGATGCTGAACATCACTAAGCATTAGAGAAATGCAAATCAAAACTACAGTGAAGTATCACCTCACACCAGTCAGAATGGCCATCATCAAAACATCTACAAACAATAAATGCTGGAGAGGGTGTGGAGAAAATGGAACCCTCTTGCACTGTTGGTGTGAATGTAAATTGATACAGCCACTATGGAGAACAGTATGGAGGTTCCTTAAAAAACTAAAAATAGAACTACCATATGACCCAGGAATCCCACTACTGGGCATATACCCTGAGAAAACCGTAATTCAAAGAGTCATTTACCACAATGTTCATTGCAGCTCTATTTACAATAGGACATGGAAGCAACCTAAGTGTCCATCGACAGATGAATGGATAAAGAAGATGTGGCACATATATACAATGGAATGTTACTCAGCCATAAAAAGAAACGAAATTGTTATTTGTAGTGAGGTGGATGGACCTACAGACTGTCATACAGAGTGAAGTAAGTCAGAAAGAGAAAAACAAATACCGTATGCTAACACATATATATATGGAATCTAAAAAAAGAAAAAAAAATGGTTCTGAAGAACCTAGTGGCAGGGCAGGAATAAAGACGCAGACGTAGAGAATGGACTCGAGGACGTGGGGAGGGGGAACGGTAAACTGGGACAAAGTGGGAGTGTGGCGTGGACATATATACACTACCAAACGTAAAATAGATAGCTAGTGGGAAGCAGCAGCATAGCACAGGATCAGCTCGTTGCTTTGTGACCACCTAGAGGGGTGGGATAGGGAGGGTGGGTGGGAGATGCAAGAGGGAGGAGATATGGGGATATATGTATATGTGTAGCTGATTCACTTTGTTATAAAGCAAAAACTAACACACCTTGTAAAGCAATTATACTCCAATAAAGATGTTAAAAAAATCTTTATTATTTTCCTCAAGACAAAAAAAACGCTAGAAACCTTTTTTTTTAAAAATTTTAAAAGCCTATCTACTAAAATATTTAAGGAATTATTTGTCAATATCATAGTATTACAAAACCTAACTGAAAGCATGAAGTTTTAAACTCACCATTAGGGCATTTGAAGCACACACACTATGAAATCCATAATAAAATGCAGCAAACTGCTTATAGATGGATTTGTTGAGAAGAAAGTCAATATAAAGGTGTACATATTCTGGAAAACAATTTTATATCATTAAGTCGTAAAAGTAAATGGCAAATACTAATGCGCTTTAATTAATAAATCGTGTTTTAACTTACCTTTCCTATTTTGATTGGTAACTGCAATTTTATCACCACCTGGCTTTAAATTATAGGACTTAATTATTCCGAATTCTTCTTGAAACACCTGATGGGAGATTCCAACACAGTGTATTTATTGGTATGGCTGATATATTAACAGACTTCAGTGAACAGGTTTGTAAAATTTAAAAAGAAAACTTTTTTCCCCCTCCTCTAAATATACAAACTACAGAATGGCTAGGCTTTTGTGATATTTGTATTAAGAATAGAGTCGTGGAAGCATTTTGGGGTAAAAAAGTAGGGACTTAACCCTCTTGAATACAGTTAAATACTTTACTGATGTTAACAAAATTTGCGCGGGCATTTAGGGAAGCACTCAGGTCTTTGGAGCCATGTGGATTCCTATAATTCCCACCTCCTGATTATTGTCAGGGGAGTGGAAGCGAGAGAGTTTTGGTCTGGTCGATTAGCTTCTGCTTCTAACTTCTTGCATTGAAGCGACAGAAGGGGCTTGTTAGAAGCTGAAAAGCTCTGAGAAAGTAACTGAGTCAAGGACACAGGCCAGGTGCCTGGCAGAGTGCCCTCACCCTTGCTGATGTTCTTTAAGCACTTTCCTTGACTGCTCACCTATATGTGTCTGCCTCTTTATCTCTACTTTATCAGGTTAAGATCCTTTAAGATAGGGGGTGGCATGTACTGATCAGTCCTTGTTCATCTTTTCTAATGGTGGGTGTATGGTAACAAAGGGTATTTTTCACATATGAAATACCTGGTTAACGGAAAGCTATTTGCCCTTAAGGATACCTGAAATGTTGAATAGAAATCTTCTTCAACATTGCCTTCATATGACAGGAGTTCACTTAATCCATGGGCCAACTCCTATAAAGAGAAATCTGTTATCTGTGTTTTTAAATCAAATAGTACTACCCAAAATAGTTAAGCAGATCTACTACAGTTCAGTTACATGTGAGACAGAGTAGATAAACGCAGACTTTGAAATAATGATAATATTTGATATTGTTTTTTCCAGGGCACAAAATGCTGGTTAATGATTTCTACCATGTAAGAGGCTTGGAAAAATTTATTGGAAAAGGTCACATAAAGGAACGTACCCAATTATACCCACAGAGGAATAATTCTGGGGTCTATTCTTATTCAGTGAGCTAAGAGCACAGTTTCCATCATAATTCACTGCTATCTGTAACATCACTGTTTATGAATTTGCAGTATTTCTCACTTTCAGTTTATATTCTTAAAAAACTCTGTTAATGTTTTAGGATTCATCTTTTAAACATAAAAACACACAGTTCATACATGTTAAGTGGTTTTTACATTTCAGTTATGGTGCCTTCCTCTCCCAAGAACAACTTGAGAACACTGGAGGAAATATTTTCCTACATTGTAACTCATGATTTCCCTGAACAGAGATTGAAAAATAGAAAAACTAAGCCAGTATTTTTTAAAATTTCAGGTTTTATGAAAAAAAGTTTTAATTTATTTTAAACATTAGTAGAAAATATAAGGAACAGCATGATTAGAATGACCTTACACACTTTACATATTAAAATTTCCATTCCATTAAAATAAGAAAATTTTAAACAAATCTAGGCTGGCATAGGTTCCGATATGATTTTCATTATTTGTTTCAATTATTAATAAAATTATGGATGCTGAAAATTATAATTGGGAGATTTGCAGTTTTTTGAACAATTCAAGGGACTAGTAGATGAATCTAATGGAAAGTATTTACCATTTTCTTTCAAAGATTAAATTTTTAATGATAAAATACAAAGTCAATTAGGTAGTAAAATTATATACTCAGATCTGCTTTATTCAGGACTGTAGCGCCTTTTATTCCCAGTCTTTGTATTTTCAAAACCCAATTTCTGTTGATTTGTTGTTTACCTGTTCTTAGACTCTTAACTGTAATATGTTATCTCTAAAATATTAATTACCCATATAGTTCAACACCTTTATAATTTTGTAAATGTAAAATTAAGAGTGTGTGAAGATACAGACTACTGGTTTTACACACTGTTTGAATACCCTGGTATTATTTAATAGAGCATATTTGAGAGTGACTTAAGCAAAAAGAAAAGAGCTATTGCAGTTCCTGATTCAAGGCTACACTTAGCCTCTCCTCCATTCTCAACTAAAAACCTCAAGGGTAATTTTCACAAGGCTGTGTGGGGAAGATTTGTTGCTGCTGCTGGACAGTTCTGATGCTTTGAGTCATGGATCCGTCTCTATAAAACCAATGGAGTTTTCATTAACATGGCCATCGAAAAGCACTGGCCTGTTAACACTGTATTTATTGAAGGCTCCATCATCGAATATTTTGCTTACTTTCTGTATTTTTTGTCCTTATTCACAGATACTGTGTTTAAATTAAGAAATGTACCACTATAGGTTTCTCTTTGCTTTCCTGTTTACTCTTCTTAAAACACATAGTGTACAAATACAAATGGTAAACAAAGTACTGAATAAAAAAGCACTTAAAACTTTTTTATCGATATATTTTACCATATATGAAATGGGAATTAGGTGTTAATTTTTAATAGATGCCATTAATAAATCGATAATCCATTTTTAAATTAAAAAAAATTCCCCACATTCCACTATCCTAACATGGCTGTTTTCTTGCTTCCTTTCAATCTTTATTCATGCATGCATAGGGACTCAGTTTTTTCTACAGTTGATCTCATAGCGTATGCACAATCTTGATTCACTATTAAAGAGGCAATATAAGAACATGAAATTAACTCAGTATCACCTTCAGCTCCATAATATAAAACAACGTATTGGTATAGTCATTCATAAAATATCCATTATTATTAACTAAAAACACCTGGATCTAAATGAGTCAAATTCAAATAGCTTTAATCATAAAATTAGACAATTTATTGGTAAAAACCAATAATAAAATTAGGAAATTTATTGGTAAATGATCTAACAAAAACTGCATATATGGGACTAAAAAATCACAGAAATCTAAATGAGAAGGTAGCTCATCTGTTAGTGTGTGTATATATATATATATATATATATATATATATATATATATATATAATATATACTAACTAGTATATATATCAGTGTATAGATATAACAATAACTCCCACTGTTACACAAATAAGGAAATTAATTGAATCGTCCAGGGCTCATAGGTAGTATGTGGCCAAAATACAAGACTATAAAGGGCAAATCTTTCAGTTTCTTAAGTAGTCTGCTCTATACCTTTTGCAACTTTTTCCAACTACTGAGTCTTATAAAAATACAGATTTAGGCTCTTAATCTGAAAGAATCCAAACCAATTTCCAAAAATGTATCTGATATCACATGAAGAATGGTTTTCTAATTAGTCACATGTTCTGGAGAGGTTTCTCAACTTTGATAGGAAGGTTCCAACCCTACACCAAACTCATTTGACCATCCAGACACAGAGATATTTAAACAGGCCCTTAATCCACATCCAGGTACTTACTAAGAATATTATGGGGAATTCTCTGCTGACCAATGGCTACCAAAACCCAGCTGTAAAAAAGCATTATTACTGTAGAGGATTTTCAGAATGATGTGTATACTATCCATTCTTCTACTACGTTTTTGCACTGGATTAAACTTGATGATTGGAAATCTAATTTCTGAATTGAGGAATGTTATCAGAGACAGGCCTGTGAAATTCATTAATTTTATTCAGGGATGGTGTTGCAGATGTTGTTAACGATATTGCATAGTGACACGTTAATAAGAATCCACAGTAGCGATCAGGTACTAAGTACTTTATTATCTCATGTAATCTTCCCAGTATGGAAGTTCTACTATCCCATTGTTCACATAAGGAAATTAGAGCTCAGAAACATAAACAACTTATCCACATTCACAGAACTAATACGTGGCAGAGGCTGGATTCAAATCTCTGTCCCTGACTCACAGCCTGTTCTACTAATGTTAGAGGAACTTAGAAGTGCTGCAAAGCGGGTTATGTGTCTCTATAAGGAAGAAGAAAATTAGACAAAAAAGGAGATGGGTTACAAAGGTAGAGGGAAACCATATTTAAACATAAGAATAGCGTTAGGAGGAGAGAGACTGCAGTAGAAGAGAGATGATCTAGAATTACGGGATAAGATGCTAAACGACTTTATACTTACAGGCATAATTTGACACAGGTCATCAGTGGTAACACTGCAGATGCCTACTGGCATACTTTGGTCATTAGGAACGATGGGAGGGCTCAATAATTTCTTGTAGCAGCAGGGGGGGAAACGAATATCCAAAGTAATGCTGTTATAAACAGCTAGTCCCATAAGCTATGCATACTAAATGTTAAGCATTAACATAAAATCCATGACAACAAATGAGTTTTGAATTATGCATCAGTCTATTTCTTGCATACTTCTTTCAGATCTAACACTGACTTTCTAATTAATCCCACATACTTCCTCTTTCCTTTCATTTATTTTCCCTTTATTTTACATAATATATTGATAATTACCAAAAATCATGTAAAAAGGAGAGGATCAGGTGAGAGTATTTAATCATTTCCCTAGAAAAGTTTATCTAAGATCACAATAGATAGCAATTTCATACATTTCTATAAAGTATTTAACATATAAGAAAACTTTCTAAATTTAAACAAAGATGTAGGTGATTTCATAAGCAGCAGCAATTTATTCAGAACTCACTGCAGAACACCACCAGTGATTTTGGTGATCATTTTGGCTATTTTAAAACTAAATACAGGGCTTCCCTGGTGGCGCAGTGGTTGAGAGTCCGCTTGCCGATGCAGGGGACACGAGTTCGTGTCCCGGTCCGAGAATATCCCACATGCCGCGGAGTGGCTGGGCCCGTGAGCCATGGCCGCTGAGCCTGCGCGTCCGGAGCCTGTGCTCCGCAACGTGAGAGGCCCGCGTACCGCAAGAAAAAAACAACCAAAAAAACCAAAAACCAAAACAAAAAAAAACCAACTAAATACAGGCTATGTAGAGAGAGCTGTATTGAGTAGTCCTATGGATACACACACACTGACATCTACATACACATGCACTACTGATATGTTAATAGGACAATTATTCTGCCACAGTAATACTTGAAAGACTTATTACTTGGAGTTTACTTAAAGTGTTAAAGTTAAAAAGCTACAGATGTTATATTTATAAACTTTGCCCGACTGCATTTTGTTTATCAGTTATACAGCAGAATGTAATTTATCCATTTTCTAAAAACGGTGTTTTAGATCAAATTTCATAATATTTCAACTGTCAAATAAACATTATAGTATCAAGTGCTTAAGGAAGTCAAATTTTATTGACTTAAAAGGAAATCTAAATATATGGGCTGGATAAATTATTGAAAACAATTTAAAAGATTAGAAGACAGCCAATAATTCAATTTGCTAAGGCAGAATGAAGGCTAATAATAATTTAAGGAACAGATATGTGATTTTACAGGTAACCATATCAACAGAGACTGAGCAATGTGTTCTAGGGTAAAGATACTGAAATTAAGTTCTAATGTATGCCTGTAATTGTGATAATAGCAATAACAGTAATAAGCATGATACTACTTTAGTTACCATTTATGATCATTTACTATAGTGACAAGTTCTAAGCATTTTTCATTAAAAATTACAAAAAAAAAATTATAATTATAATCCTGAAGGAAGGTTTTTAACAGATGAGGAAGTAGGTTAATAGGATCTGCTTCAGGGCACTTCCATACCCAGAAGAATCATGCTGCATTTCGCACTAAATCAAGTTGCTCTGGTTGAAGCAGGGGTGGGGATGTTGGAATTCTGCTGGAGCCACTGAAGTGTCATGTGGTGCAAACAGAGCCGACTTTGAAAACCCTGCACTATATTATGTCGCCCCCTACCCTTAGTTCCAGTGCCCCTTTGGTAATTCTACTCCTAAAAAACTGTTAGATTATGGCTCTTCATACACTCTTCAAAACATTTTATAATTATTTCTATAGGTTTTACTATAACACTTCTTGTAAACTCCAAGGCCTTAATATTTTAAAATAATTATATTAGAAATACAATACTGTGAGAACTACTAGAACAATAAATCTTTGGTCCTGAAATTTAGAAACTGGAACTATGTATGGAACCAACTCTATTTTCTAAATCATCATACCTGTTACTTCTCAATTTTTTGTTCTCCTCATCTTTGACAGATCTCTCCACCACTTACGTGATCACAATCCACTGTCATCCCACATGTTTGCATATATTATCATGCTGTTTAGGGCATCAGTCTTACTTTCTGTAGGTTTCTTTTGTGTGTGTGAGATAAATACACCTAATAATGAGATAATAGTGGCTATAATTTAATTTTAGATTAATTGTTTAATTTGTAATATACAACATGTAAATACACTTAATATGCTCTTTTGGGTAATGATTGAATAGAAACTAATGCCTACTGCAAAAAAAAAAAACCACACACACACAAAAAGCAAATTCACAATATTACATATACCACTCTAAAAATGTGGTATAAGAGCTGATACTTTATTACAAATATTAGAAAGTCAAAGTATCAGCCAAATCTAAGCCATGATAAGAATGTAAAGTAATGACAAACATATTTATCAGGAAATTCAAATAGCTCCTAGTGTGGTGAGAAGCATCAATGACTCAGGCCTTCAATGAAGTCGAAATATTCAACAAGTGACTACTGGAGATAAGAGAGTAAAAACAGGAGTCTAATAATTGTTAAACATTCCTTACTGTGGGCTTAGCACTTTGGACCTTTAGATACGACAACACATACAAAATTTCAGATTAAGTTTACCATCACAAGGTGTGGTTTTCCTCACTACCTTTTCTTCCATCCAGCCTCTCAATTTTCATATACATTCTTCAGGATTTACTCCAACAAATGCAAGAAAGACAGACATTCAAAGCTCTCCATCAGATGGCTCTTAATTCGTATTTTGCCAGCACCTTCCATAACTCTCGGAGCACCCTCTGCTCCCATCAAGTGGACCTCTACATTGCTCTGTAACAGGGCCAGCACAACGCTGACTTGTCCCCAGCCTTTCTCCCAGTCTATGCCCTACTCTCTCCAGTCCTGTGTTAATCAAATATATTGGTTCCATTTTAAAATTTGGGAAGAACACACTGAATCGTTTCCTTCTCAGAACTCTTCAGAACTTAATGCCAAATGGTCATTTGACTCTGAGAACAGACCACCCTGAATTGGTGGTCATCTGTCTGTCTAGATGGTAAGCTTCTTAAAGGTAGTTTTCTTTTCCTTCTTTTAACCTATGTATCCCCAGTGTTTGCTTATTTATTTATTCTTCCCTCCTTTCTTCCACAATTATATTTTTTAGAGTTTAAAAATGAATGCAGAAGTCATCCTGTCCAGTCTCCCAGCCAATGCAGGAATGCCCTCTCCAACACACCTGATAGGGATCAGAGGATGGCATAGAAATTTATATAATTTTAAAAAACACTATAAAATAATGCCGTATGCTTTAAATGTTCCCATTCCATTCAACTTTTAATTTTTTATGAATGTCCCAGGATTTGAGGCCACATTAAGAGTTAGACTTAATTTCCATACTTTCAATTTAGAAAACTGGGTGAAATAAGCACAAAGTGAAAGAACTAACAGAAAAATAGTTCACTATGAATAGGAAAGACACTATGACTTTTAAAAAATGTCTTAAATTTCTGATAATTTAGGTTATATATGAAATAGGAAATAATATTTATTTTGAGATAAGGTTTTCAGAGAAAAGTGTGAACAATTCAGTCACTCCTTCCAATTAACTAAATCTGCTGATATTACATAGCTGTGATATTACAAAATAATAAAGATTACTGAAAAATCTACCAGTAATTTGACAAGAATGTTTAATCTGAATAAAATGCTTATTAACAGTTTTCCAAAATTCAGATAAAATTCTTAAAACTCTCTAGTCTACTAGCACCTCCTAGTGGAAAGTTTAAAGGATACAATTCCAACCAATCGGAATTCAGAATAGTTGTCACATTTAAAGCTGCTAAACCAATGGCAGTATGAATCCTTATGATACGTAAACATGCCTGGAAAATAGAAGCATAATTTCATCAATATGATTGATTAAAAAAACCCAGAGCAGTAAACATGTACATGGCATCTCATCTATTAGAAGCAACACATTTCAGCAACAGTTCTGTTAGAAACTACCTTTCATGTTAAAATGTATCAAATACACGTCCAACAAATTTGCAAGAGCACTTTATTGTTCACTGGTATCCTGAACCAGGGGTAGAAACAGGGTAAAAAGACAGAAACTAAATTAATCAGTTGATTTATAAAAACTATAATTTTATACTTTATAAGTTATGATCAAAATTAATTTTGAGGATTATCTGGAGGTTTCAATTTACCTCTGTCTTCTCCATTTCCCATTACCAGAGAGATGCTGTATATACATATACACCAAATTAGGAAAAATAAAGAATAAGAAAAACACTTAAAACTCTCTTTTGAAGAAAAACATTTAATGATACTAAGGATTATATAGGTGTTTTCTCTACATAAAATATAATTAAATTTCAAAGGTTTATTTAATGATTCTTATTTATTAAAATGGCTCATATTTTAATGAAAGAGACTTTGAATATTAGTGAAGAGCAAACTATAGTTCTGTTTTTTAATTTCGAATGTTCTTTTTATTTCAGTGACAAATTTTCATGCATTTGGCTTAGTCAGAAAACATGTGGATGCTTCCTTGCAAAGACATCTTGTGTAGGATTCCCAGTAAGATAATGATTATTAGGTTCATCAATTTGGTCAGTTTAAAAAATGTAACTAACAGTCTTTAAAAAATCATTCAACATTTATGGTTGACAAAAAAATCTGTAAAATCATAGGCTAAATTAAAAATAAGAGCGACTACTTGAATCTAACAATTAGGGAGAAAACACTTTCATAAAAATTAACTACTCACCATAATCGGGATGAAAAATTTGGCGAATTAAAAGAAGGAACCATTCTTTAGTCAAGCCGCCCATATCCAAACCAGCTTCCCCTACAAACGTAACTTTCAACTTCTTTTTCAAGTCTGCTCTTTTCCGGGTTAACTATTTGAAGAAATTATAAAGTAGAGGAGAACAAAGGGCAGTAAAAAGGAAATTAATTTTTAAAATTTTGGAATATGTATTATCTTATTTACAATGTCACAAAACTCCATCCATCCATCCGTCTCCCAACACTGTATTAGTCAGGTATGGTAATGTTTGTTGTAGAGATCAAGGAACAGAATTAGAGAGCTCAGGTAGCTTGCCCAAGGTTACTGTCTCCCAGCACCATATTGTCTCCAAGATTTTAATTTAGCAGAATACAGTACAAAGTAGTTCATTGCCTTCAACGCTAAACTTAAAAAAAATCACATAACTAAATCAAATATTATCTTAGGGCTTCCCTGGTGGTGCAGTAGTTGAGAGTCCGCCTGCCGATGCAGGGGACACGGGTTCGTGCCCCGGTCCGGGAAGATCCCACATGCCGCGGAGCGACTAGGCCTGTGAGCCATGGCCGCTGAGCCTGCGTGTCCGGAGCCTGTGCTCCGCAACGGGAGAGGCCACAACAGTGAGAGGCCCGTGTACCACACACACACACACACACACACACACACACACACACACACACACACAAAAGCAAGCACACTACTGGCATACAGAAACAAAAGATAGCTTACTAAGATTTTAGTAATAAGCCATATTATCAAATTTATTTAAAGCTTTAATCAAATAATACTATTCTGGAATAAATGATCAATACCTCATCAAGAGAATCGCTGACCAGATGTGTCCGCCTTACTTTCATATTTAGAAATAACATATTCATATCAGGTCTCTGTCTTCGAGATACTTTATCCACCAGACTTTGCTAATTAAAAAAGAAAGCAAACATTTTCATTTATACTTAAACTATAATCTCATTTAAAACATTTAAACACTTTAGTAAAAATCACTTATATTCCTCTCTTTGCCATCTCTCATAAACAATTTCATAAACTCGATTATACAAATTTTGATTTATGAAAATGCCCTACAATTATTTCATTTGGGGACAATAATAACCAAATAATAATAATAACCAAATAACCAAAGGGGATCCAAAATGGAGGACCTAAAATAATTCATCTTCTTTAGTAAAATAATGTTGCATTACTGTTTCTGTATGTCTCATCTCTTAAATGGCAAAGTTTTCTGTTTAGTAAATACAAACAAAGTGGGAACATTGGAAACAAGGTATATACTTCTGACGATAAACTTGGCTTAAGCTTTTTTAGATACTGGATTTACTCTAAAAGCACAATTAGTCTACTTTTAGAAAGTAATTTTCAACATATTTCAGAAACCATTAACAATGCTCATATCCTTTGTCCCAGTAATTCCACTTCTGGGAATTCTAAACACAGAAAATATTTTATACAGTGAGATGTTCATCACAGCATTATCTATAAGAGCAAAACTTTAGAAATATCTTAAGTATGTATCTCTCTAATGGAATATAATACAGCTATCAAAAATGATGTTCATAAATACTATGTAAATAACATGGAAAATGTTTAGGGAACATACAACTGAAAAAAAAAGTGGAGAAACAAAATTGTATACACAATATTGTTTAAACTCTGCTGCCTTTTAAAGACAATATAGGTAAAAACTATCAAAAGAAAATTTCCTAAAATGTTAACAATAGTTATGCTTGAGTGATGGAAATATGATTTAAAAAATATAAGGAATATATAAATATCATGCTTGTATATTTACTTTATCTAAATCTTTTTCAGACTACCTCATCCTCTTTGGTAACAAAGAAAATGAATTATTGTACAGATTAAAGACGAACACTTCAGACATTTTAAATACATGCAGCAATTTGCTTACTAGGTAAAATTTTAATACCCCAAATCTATATAAGGCTACTTTCATGATTTTGTAGATTACTATAATAATACACTAATTCAGAGCCCTTCCTCATCTCTCCAATATTCAATTCTAAAGGCTTTTAGTAGTTTTTATTTCTTCTCTGTGTCCTCTCTTTTGTGCTCAAAGAGATCTATATTTCCAGGATAGTATGCTGTGTCATGGTCCTGTTTTCCAACCCTTTACTATCTTCTGTTCCCAGTCTAGCTCCTGGGAAGCTGTCACACTGGAAATATCCAACACACAAATTTCAATTAGGATGCTAATGGAAGACAAGGCTTAGTGGCTACTCCTCCCATCAGGAATTCATATTGAATAGAAAGTGTTTCAAATGAAAGAAATAACTAACAATGGTAGAATTTTAGACATAGTCTGATGAGGAAGTTATTTTTAGGCTGGGGAATGTCTTTTGCAACTTTAAAGTATACTATATAAGCTCTTGCTTGCATTAACTACTTATAAGGCTGTCCTTGTGTCAAAATAGTTACCAGTCATTAATTCCAAGTGGTATGGCAGTTTACAAGTTAAAATGCTGGGAAACACCCATAACCGACAATGCTACTTGACACTTCAGTTGCTACTCATTTGTGCCCATGCCCTGTGGAAGATAGCCTGGGACACAGTCTACAGCTGTCACTCTCCTTTTAATTGGAAGAAAAGTTAAAAGAAGATTATTTAATATTTTAAGTGTGAGTGACACAGCAGAAGACTGCTCAGAGGAACTTAGATAAACTTCTAGCTCTTTGGATTTTTCCCTTATAAATATAAAAAATCATAACCCAAGGTTAAAAAAAAAAAGCACTAAAAAGGCACATGAAATTGCATAAATGCAACTAACCGAAAACGTCAAAATGACAAGCTATGTAGACTCATCTTTGAGCCAATATCTACCCAAGATTAGGTAATAATTCTGGTGCTAAATATACCTGTTGAAATCTACTCTTCAGCAGGGTAATGTGGCTATGTTACTCCTTTGGTATAAATAGGCAATAACATTTCTTGTAATATTCCAATACTCAGTGTAAACTGACTCTCGGATGTCACTAGTCACTCGAATCTTTTGTCCCGCTCTGTGACAGGAAAAAATACTCACCTTCTGGTGAATTACTGAAGAATAAACAATTCTTATTTTTATGGTATTTTGAAGTATTACAATTTATGCATTAGGATTCTTTTTATATTCTTGGACAAGACACAGAAATCATTTCCTTTTACTCTATGGGTCTGTCTTGGGTCTCTTTATTTTAAGAAGACTACAGCCAAACCTTCCAAGTTTTAAAGTTGCAAGTAATCATGTCACAAAAGCAGATACTCAAAATATATGAGCATTTAAATGTATAGTCTAGAGCTCTAACCTAAAACAAAAAAGCTCAGTCAATCTGGTATATATTAAAGTACCTAACTTTACTGTGCTGTGCTGAAACCATGGTAGGCTGTGAACAGGACAGGCCCAGAGATGAACTTCATCTTGCTCCATTAATTTGTCTAAAGCCAGCCTGACTGCTACCCCAGTTTCAATGGGCCTCTATGCATTTTGGTTCCCTAAGGATCATTAAACATCTCTCACCTTCTTTGGACATATTTTCTCAGTTTTTCAAGACTATACTTTTTGTTACATTTTCTAATTTTTCAGTTGTTTCTATTTGTCATAAAATCTAGAAAATGTGTCAGTGGTTTGAGTAGTTTGCTCTTAAGGACACTCCTTTCCTTGTCCTCACTGTAGTTCTTTCTCACCAGTGCTCTGCTAGTGACCCTGGAGGATGTTATCTACAAAATGATGTCCAACAAGTTCCGAGTACTTTGGATCTGTGAGAGGCATTTAATCTCCATGCTATATTTATAATATAATGAGAAGTTGATGAGGGGTATCTTTTCCCCGTATCATGAACAGGTTTAAGTACTTTTTGAGGGAGTATGATATGAATTTTACTTTTAACATTTCCTGATTATGCTAGAACAATTCACAAGACATTTGACTTATTTGTTAAATTATTTACTATATATTGATTATAGTCAGCATAAATGTTTTCATAGCTGGCTTACCCTTGCGATGCTTATCATCTGTTGCTCTGAGTCTCTTTGAATAATGATTTTTTTTGCAGCTATAGAAATAACGAATGGGTACTGACAGAAGGAAAACCTGCTCAACAAGTGAAAACAGAAAAAGCAAAATGGTGTATTTTTAGCAAAATTATACTAAGGGAATCTAAGGTACCCCTTCTAACAATATTAAACATTACTTTTGTATTGTGTTTTACCATTCACAGAATGATTTTATGGTCATCACTTCTTTGAATCCCCACAGCCCTGTGAAGTATGCTTCATTATTAGATGTGCAGTGCCTTTATTCTCTAGAGGAAGCTACACCTAATGTTCTGAAATATGTGCTAACTGCTTATATTGTTTGTACAAATAATTTCAGTTTAGATAGTCACTTGTATATCATTACCTGGGAAAAATATGGGCAACAGCAGAACCAGGAGGCAGAAGTGTTGATGAAGGATTTAGGACAGAAAATTCATGTGCAGAAATTAATATAAGAATCCATTACTATATGGATATTTCTGATGCGTGAGCTTCAGAAATGAGGAAATCTAGCAATAACTATGGTAGGAAAAGTAGTAAATTTAAGAGCAATAAAATAAAAGTTAGAAAAAGGTGTGTCGCTTTAGCGCTGTATTTAATGATGTAGTAAGATGAAATGGTATGTATTTGTAAAAATACAACATATGATCAAAAGTTATGAAAATAACTTCTTTCCTGGCTCAGAGCTCATTCTATGTTATATAAAAGAGCCACAAACCACACAGAGAAATGCACTTAGAGAGAACTAGTATCGTAGCAATGACACTTCAGGAGTTAGACTCCCACCAGAAGTGGCTGTAATGCATCCATCAGTTACAGTTGGAATGCACTGAGGACAGTGAAGCAGTGCATCTGTGACCACTGTGCAAGATAGGGATTACGAGGAAAAAGGAAATAGCCCTAGTGCGAACTGAAAATGAAATGGCTTTCCCCTTGGGATGAAACTGTTAAAAAGCAGTAAGAAAACTGTTCAGTATTAATGTGTAATAATTTCGAATCACTAAGTGCTAACTAGAAATTTGGAAATAAAAGGAAGTGCAATGAACTTAGTAGGATAATGTTGGTCTTATGTACTTTAAAACAGTGCATCTCAGCCTTTCCCTAGTCACGGCACGTAGACATCATACTATGTGTATGACACACTGAGATAAACAGATGAGGCTGCCCATGGCCAGACATGTGACTTGCCCTGGGGCTCAGGTCCCCCTCTAGGTCCAGTGTGGCTTCCCAAGGGCTCAAGGGATCATAGAATCAAACCTCTGTTAACTCCTTTTTGGTACAACAACGCTATGGCACAGTGTTTAGAGGAGCTCTGCATTAAAAGATGTCACTGAAATATGCACAATAACTCTCGCAACTGTATTGTGGTTTTGTCCACAACATTACAATTACATTAAAGTGTAAAATAAACTTTGTCAAGAAAATATCCATCAGACTGACCAAGGTCCCCACAAACGGAATTCTTAGGTCAGGTGTGGATTGAGATACGTCCAGAAAGCTAGTCTATGTTTTAGGCCAATTCTGGTAGAAAGGGTCCCTGGGAGCTCGAATCAATTTATGAAGTAACCTGACGTTTTAGATTACTTATATCCACATCCTATTTCTTAGTCAGTCTCCTTTAGAATAATGCATTCTGCAGGATATCTTGTGGTCTGGGAATAAATTAAGTCTGGGATAGTCTTGCTGGTTTAATCCAAAATGTAAGTGTGGATATAAGGTGCAGGGTAATAAAGAATTCGGCCAAGTGTTTCCAAAATCTATTATACTACTGTGATAAATCATTTCTAGTAAAGCCATTTCTCTGTAACATCCGTTCTTTTAATACTGTGTATAAAGGACAAACACTTCATCCACAGAAAAAGGGAGAAAAAGAGTGAATGTATGTGTGTATGTGCACACATGTGTGATCATTGTGTTAGATCAGGCACTGGCACCCTATGGCCCATGGGACAAATACAGCCTACAACCTAGGCTTGTGAATAAAGCTTTTGGGACACAGACATACCCCTTCAATTACGTATTTTTTAAGGCTGTTTTTCGTGCTATAATAGTAGACCAGAGACTGTATAGCCCAAAGAGCCAGAAACATTTATAATCCTGTACTTTGCAGAAAAAGTTGGTCGACCTCTGTGCTAGGTGATGGCACATAGAATAAGAAGATATAAGAAACTGCATACTAAGATAGAACTTTTCCCTTCTTAAAAAGATGCTACTAATCAAGCCAAAACCATATTAACATAACTATAAATTCAAAATGTAATAGAAAAAGAAAATGCTTTAAGAAATATAATGATATTTCAAGGCTGGATATCTAAACTACATTTATAAGTTTATATGCAGAGGTATGTGTATATTTAAATTTATTTACACAAACTTAAAAGCCAGTCATTATTTTGAATAGCATTTTATTTAGGTGAGTAATCAGATGAGCTTTTGATCATACCTGTGAGAATTTCCAAAGCTCTGCCAGGTGTGGTATTCTTCCATGAGATCAATATGATCCAATGTAGAATTATAGAAATCAGTATAAGGAATAAGGGGAGGATGAACCAAATTGTTTGCAGTATCTGTAAAGATAAATTCTAACATAATGATCTTTCCTAACATGTACATGATTCATTCTAATAAGAAGAAGAACATTTTAATGCCCACCAGAAAGCTTTATCGAGAAATTCCTATTTTAAGCAATTGTAGTGCCAAACGAAAAGGTAGTTTTAAAATTGTGGTCAAAATGCAGCCAATAATTTCTTGCTTTAAAAAAAAAAACTTGAATCGTGGGGATTATAATCGTATAGTAAAGGGAGTACGCAGATGGCCAGATATGCATCCTATTTCCCCATCAGGGTGTTCTCCGGGTCCGCAGGAATGAATGGAAGTTCTTGTATTCTTAGGAATCACTACTTAGCAGGTAGTATGCAACTGAGAGCCATAAAACAGAATATTGCCCAATAAAATGCATAAAGCTTTTTCATGCTTATACATTAATTGTGAAATCCATTAGCAAAATAGAAAATAAATCACTACAACCCTTCTCTTCAAAGGAATGGTTTAAGATGTAAGAATGCCTCTGTAGTATTTTGAGATCCTTATGGAAATGTTCTTATATTTAACAAAAGAAAAGTAAAGATGATTGAATAATAAAACCTACTAAGTAAAGCCAACACTTTAGATGCTGATGGGATCCACCAGGAACACTTTGATATAGGTGGAAATTCTTCAGGCTTTGCAGGAAACAGGCGTAAAGAAATAAACTGCAGCAATCTCTCTACCAATTGTTTGAACCTCTTCTGGGATAATCTGGTAAAGATTTTGAAATAATTCCAATCAAAATTCACATTTTCTACTTTGGTAATATATTTGTTAGAGATCAAAGTTCATCCTTTATACATAAAATTTTAGACTATTCCCCCAAATTCTATTTCTTAAATTGCCAAAATTTTGAAAAGATGCAAAATCTTACCTCGAATATCATTTCTTAAATAAGAAATAAACACCAAAATTACTATAAAGTTAGCATTAAACATTTCACTTTTAAGGCTTTTAGTATTCAGTCAATCCTCATTCGCAGACTTTGTATTTGCAAATTCACCCATTTCCTACAATTTAATTCTAATCCCCAAATCAATAATTGTGGCGTTTTCGTGGTCATTTCATGGCTGTGCAAAGAGTGGCAAAAAATGGGAGTTGCTTATGCTGAGGCTGAACAAGGCCACGCTCTGCCTTCTTGTTTTAGCTCTCATACTGCAAACAAGTGTCCTTGATGCAGTCTACTTAGGGTCATGTTCTTCAAATTCTTGTGCTTTCTGTTAGCGATTCTGCTGTTTTAAAACGGCCCTTAACTATAGTGCTAAAGTTCTGTCTAGTGTTCCTAAGTAAAGAAGGATGTGATGTGCCTTATGGAGAAGGTACTTATGTCAGATAAAATTTGCTCAGACATGAGTTATGGTGCTGTTGGCCAATGTTAATAAAACAAAAATGTATATCAAATAGGTGTCTTTAAATAGAAATACAGATAAAGCAAGGTTATGTACTGATTGGTTGATAAAAATGTTGTGACCAAAGGCTCGCAGGAAGCTAACCCTGTATTTCACTGTTCACCAATTCAGTGTTCCCAGCAGCTTTATAGAACATAACTATTGTTAATATTAAGAATTAACCGTATTTAAAATTAATTTTGGGAATATTTAGCTTCTTTAGCTTTTATTAGTCATGGGGAAATGTAAATGTTAATGTAAGTATTGTTCTGTGGAAAAAAAGTACTGTACTTTTACAAATTGATATTGATGGCTAGTATGTTTTACAATGATGTTTTAGGTAAGGAAAAGGCATTGTGTAAATAATGGTAAAATTTATTGATAGGAAATAAAAAGACACAAATTAAAATAGTAATGTATGAGCAAATCCAGTCACCATCTTTGAGATATATGAAAAATCAATGATAGGAATGTGCTGTATAAAATGCAAAAGCAGTGGACAGAAATCTCAACAACAGCTGGCACAAGCAAAACGATTACTTACATACAAAACAGATCTTTAATGTATCCTCTATGTAGTACTAAAGAATATGCTTATAATTGGCTTCTGAAGCACTGTGAATTATAAGTATCATTTCTCAAGACCTGAAAACATTTAATATATTTTCTTATAAAGTTACTAACAAACTTAAAACTTTAAGATTATAAAAGTTCTTAATATCATAGAATAATTTACTTTTTAAACCAGTGAACTAGGAAATGATGGTCAGCTTCCACTAAGGTAGCTATCTGTCGTAGCAAGTGAGCATAGATGACATATGTAGATGTGTTATTAAATTGAGGATTCTGAAAAAGATATTAAAGATAATTGCGTTAAAATTTTGTTAACATGTAAAAGGAAAGACACTATGCTTAATGAGCTAAGTGGCGAATTCAGAAAACTAAATTTGAGATTATGAAATACTAGGTGAAATCCTTGAAAACAAGAATCTATTTGTTTAATTATTTAATTAACAGAGACTTGGATTTCCACTATGGTCCAGTGGCTTTGGAATTAAGACAGATCTGGGTCTGAGGGCTAATTCTACCACTTACTACTCTATATGCCCTTAGGAATGTTCCTTAAACTTTGATTCTCAACTTCCTCATCTGAAAAATGGGAATGATAGCATCTATCTTGGAGGTTGTTTTGAGTATTAAAAAAAACTGTATGTAAAGCACGTAGCTCACTGCCTGGTATAAATGGTGGTAATCACTACTATCCAACTAAACAAAAACCTGGCTCTTCTTTGATTAAAAAAAAAAGGGGAGAGAGAATGCTAGAAAAATAGAAGCTGGTAATGAAACATTTGCCATTGTGAAATGAGTTATTTGCATATTTCACAAAGAACAAGGGGAGAACCACATAATAGCTTCAGAGAACTTTTAAGCGTTAGAGTAGAGCTTGTAAACCAAGCAAAACCTCTAGTTATATTTCCAAAATCTAAAACTCCATCACAGTGTACATTTCAGAGCTCCATGGGAAAAATGAGTATTAGTGAACAATAAACCGAAATTGTAAAAAATAAAAGAGCACCGTGTGTTTTTCAAAATTGACTTATGGTCAGGATGGTTCAAAATGAGGGAGTGACCCCAGATGATAAACTCATCAAGTGATAGCTCATAAGAACAAGATGTCATGAGCAGAGCTTACTGTTGACCGACACACTCACTTAAAAATTTGAGCTTCATGTTGTCACTTTCTAGCTTTTACTATTCTCCAGGTATATTTCCTCTTTTTTCTAGTTTTGTCTTTCTCCTCTTACCTCTTTACTTCCCTTCCTCTCCTTACATCCCTCAACGACCTCTTATCTATTTCCCCTTTTTTTGTTTCCTCTCTCCTCCTTCTTCTACCCCATCTTCCATATTTCCTTTTATTGGACATAATATTGAACTAAATATCCTATCTTATTTAATATAATTTTTTCTTATCTTTAAATGAGATAATAATTTATATGAACACCTTTGGTAAATTGTAAAGAATAATACAAACATAGTATGCTAGCTATGGGAATAAGGTACTTCTCAAAAAATTATAAAAACTAAAATTGCTTTTCATTTGTTTGGACCTTAATTTTTTTTTGTATCAATGAATCTGTATTTCTCAAGAGGAAAAAATTCATCATATTTGCTTTAGCAAATATAAACAACCACTTTGATTTCTCCATTAGAATTCTAGTTTAAACATTTATTGAAAATACACAGAAAAGTTGGAAACCCACTAATTGGGAAATAAGAGAAAGTTTTGGAGTCCCTTAAAAAACTAGTTACAAGAAAGGAAGTTGACTGGAGGAGGAAAAGTGCTTCCATTCTGTTTGTTCCAGAATCCCACAGCAGGAAGGCAAGTTAAAATATTAATCCTGGAGATAATTTAGCCTTCCACTGTTTATTTGTTATAGCTTTAATTCTCTGGTTACAAGTAATTATAATCTAAAAAAGTATCAAAAATGTTGCTCAAAATAATACTTAGTATTTGATATCATTTCACTTACACATGCATAGATTGAGATATGAATTACACACTTCAACTATGTTTTTGCTTTCTTACCTGTAAAAGTATAAAATATGCTCTAAGATCATCTTTTGTTCGTGGACTGAAACAGAAATAATTGTAATTGATTAGAGATGAATGTTTAATCTTACAGTATCTAATAAAAAATTATCAATGTTTCTGTGAGAATTGACTTGATAAAAGCCAAAAACTAGACTTAAACCTGAAAACATAAATCATTGCCCAAAGTGTACTAGATGATCTTTACAAGATATAAAGCCACATCATCTGAAATATAAATATATAACATATGTATCACATTTTGAAATTGATATATATACACATGTATATATACAATTTTTAAATTAGCAGTAATACTTCTCTGTGGAAGAATTATCTTGACTGAATAATGATTTAAATTATTTAGGTTTAAATAAAATCTAAACTATTTCTTTCTATACTATTCTACATAATTGTCAGATTATTTTCTCAATAGGACTACTGTTTTGTTTTAGAAATTATATTTGAAAACATTTTAAAAAGCTCAAAGCAATTCATAAATATTAAAATTCCTGGTGATAGGAGAGTCCATTTTTTGTTTTCCCATTTTATAGCTGTACCATGAAAACTTCCATTTTCCTGTTCTATGCACTAGTATTTTAGTACAGTATACAGTTCTGGGTACAGAAATTGTAGCTAAGAGCACAGGCTCTTTTTTTTTTTTGGTACGCGGACCTCTCACTGTTGTGGCCTCTCCCGTTGCGGAGCACAGGCTCCGGACGCGCAGGCTCAGCCGCCATGGCTCATGGGCCCAGCTGCTCCGCGGCATGTGGGATCTTCCCGGACCGGGGCACAAACTCGTGTCCCCTGCATCGGCAGGCAGACTCTCAACCACTGCGCCACCAGGGAAGCCCCACAGGCTCTTTTGCCAGACAGCCTGGGTTCTAATTCTGACTCAGGCACTTACTGTGTTAATTTGGGCAATTTACTTCTCTGTAAATTAGTTTCCTCAAGTGTGAAATGAAACTAATCATATTACCTATTTCACAGGATTGTAGTGAAGATTCAATGAGAAATACATGCAAAATCGTTTGAAAGGTGCCTAGCCCATAGTAAATAGTCAATAAACTGTAGATCTTGTTGTCGTTATTATAAATCCAAAATAAAACAAGATTTGGGGGGTAAAGACCACATAATCCTTTGATAAGTAAGTTGCATCAAATTATTTTAATCTGTCTCCAGCACACATTTGAGGAGCAGGGGTTAGAAAGCTGTGTGAGCATGCTTGCAGTTTCGGACCACTGGACTTCCCCACTCTCCTAAGTGTTCACTTTACATTCCAAATTTTCCTCTTCATTTTCAATGAAGCATTATGTATTCAACCAGAAACATAAAATTCAAGGAAAATGCAAAAGTATTACTAGAATGATAAACTAGGAAAATACTGTTAAGTTAAAAATCACATGAAAAATACAGTATGATTTCAATTGTTTTAAAAAGATGACTAGAAAAAAACTGCAAAATGTTACATTTTTACTTTATACTACCTTGACTTTTCTCAATTTTCTATAAAAACCACAATTTTCTCTGAAAATTGGAACAATGTTATTAAAATATATAGGGTACATTTAACATTATAGTTAAGAACTCTAGTTTGGTATTTTCAAACTGGGCTTAATATAAACATTTAAATTATAATTTAATGGTATTATTTGGCTTTAATAGAAGCTATCATTTAAATTATAATGTTAAGTAACACCAATTTAAATCATATGTACTTTTAAAAGTATATTTTTGTGTTCTGCATATTCACAGTTCAAAACATTATCAATTACACTGTCCATCATTCCTTACATAACAATTCAATATTTAGTTCCAGGAAAAAATATTTCAGTAGCTAAATTTACTTCTCTTATATTAGAAATAAGAAAAATTTTGCTCTGCTACCAGAAAGCCCAAGGCTAAATTTAACGCCCATATTATTTCATTCTAGGTGACTGATTTAAGTACCCATCCTATTTTTGTAAAGCACATATATCTGTACATGACAGATCTTATATACAATTTTAAAGAATTCACAGATCCTCTGAAGCTCACCTGTGGACCATCCTGAGAAGTCGTAAGTCTCAAGTTAAAAAGCTTTGTTATAAATGGTTTATAATTTCATTCTGATCTATGTTTTTATTGTAGCAACTAAAATCTTTTCTGAGAGTAAAACACATATGTATATATTAAAGATGGATGAGCTGTGTATATTAACCATCTATACTGATTAGCCAAATATTAGTTTCAGTTACCCTTTCCATTCTCGTAACAGGCTGTTAATGATTCCCTTTAATACTGTCTTCTGAATGTCTTGAGGCTGTAGGCAAAAGAAAATCATGAAATAATTAGGATTAGCTATTTAGGTGACTTTTATGTGTTAATTATATTTACAGATCTGTTTCAATAGTTAAAACCAGACTTGATGACCAAGGACTACCACTTAACGGTAGTCTCAATTTCACATCTGAGAGATTATAATGAGAATGCTCCCTGGAATGTGCACTGTACAACCTGCACAAACATACATGGTGGCTGTTTGATGACTACCATCAGTTTTATATAACACTGAAAACAGAAAAAGAAAAACAATTTCACTTTCTCTGGATTGACAGGATAAAATCATGAACATAAGTCTAAGAATAGCATGTTTAACAATATAAAATGACTGCATACGTTTTGGACATATTTAGTCCTACCAATACCATGTTATAATCAGCAGTTAAGCCCACAATTCATTATTAAGTACAACCAAATTATGTTCAATAAAAAAATAACAAGATAAAGATTTTTTGTTATAGGATCCAAAAAAGGTACTAAATAACATCATTTATAGTTTAATAATTCAAATACTAAAAAAAGTTAATTACTACCAAACATGTCCCATAAGAATGAATGAAAACACATCTAGATGGTGCTTTTAGCTTATAAGAAGTAATGACTAAAACCTTCATTAACTAGAAGCTCCAAACAGTCATTAAAATTTCTCTGTCATATTGTTATATGAAAGGGGCAAACGTCAAGAAAACAAGCATATATCATGGATTTATTTTTAAAAAAAACACAATCATCACTTCTAAGACATGTCTGTCTGCACTCATTCAGCCCAGCACCTTTCTTAATATACTTATTTAATACATCATTCCTTTCTCCTCCTCTGCTTGCAGTGACCCTTCACACCCAGCAGGCAAACAGCACCCCAGAGCAATGGAAGGCTGCAGGAGAAAACTCACACAAATGTGCTGACTAGACGCACTGAGTTTATGTCACAAATCTCAAAAGGACACTCAACACCACTGACAGTCCTTCAACATTTCCCTAGTTCATCTACTTCCCTGCTCTCCAAGACGACTATTTCAAACCCTTTTCTCATTCCTCAAACCTCCAACACCTCCTTCCCATCATCACTCTCAGCTCTGATCTTGCCACACACTTTAGAGAGAAAACAGATGCACCCAAATGAGAACAGATTCATCTTGCCACTATTATTCTAATCATTTACCTGCACTACAACTGACCAAGCCCAACCCCCTCACTTGAGCCCTATGCTCCATCCTCTCTCACCTTGTCAAGGACCTGGTTATTCAGTTTTCTTCTATCTCCCCCATATCATCCATTTCTTCCACACTACTAGGTCGTTCCCATCAGTAGAACACTACATCCTAATACCATCTGCACAGATGTGTCTCTGCATTTTCACTCTTCTCCACCCTGATCTATGCCCTAAGAGGCTGACTACTAAGGACTACATCAACCAGACTCCTTTGCCTTTTTTTGCCTTCTGGTTGGATTCAGCCATAGGGAACACTGACAGAAGAGGGAAGAGAGGAAAGTTGGGGTATTTATTCCCCCAATGCCCTCCCTGCAAGGTCACCATGGGCTGGCTATGCCCCTCATCTCCTGTAAGGCAGCCCTCTCCCCCCGACAGCTCATCTCCAGATTCACTCTACTGTACTACTCCTGAGGGCCTCCCTTGTTCTGCTAATACTTTTGTAAACAGTCCTCTCCAGGTTACCAGTTAGAGTGTGTCATCTGTTTCCTGCCAGGACCCTGGCTAATATATTGCTCATGCTAAAAACCTTTCATTTGGACCCATGTACTCTTTCAGCTAACCCTTAATTTCTCTGCTTCCCTTCACAGCAAAACTCTCCAAGAGCTGTCTGTATTCACTATCTCTACTTCCTCTCCTCTCATGGTCCCTTCAACCCATTCCAAGTAGGCTTTGTTTCCACAACTTCACGGAAACGGCTCTTATTAAACTCAGTCATCAATTATTCACCTTATCAAAGACAGTGCTCAATCCTCTGTCCAAATTTTACTAAATCTCTCAGCAGCATTTGACAGGATTAATTATTACCTCTTTGAAACACCTATTTTCTCTCTGCTGATGGCTGAGCCCCATTCATCTAATTAAATGGCAATACCATCCACTCAGTTTCCTTCTTCCCTCAAGTCCCACATCCAATCTACAGAAGCATGTTTAGCTCTGTTCCATAATATACTCAGAGTCTGAATACGTCTCACTAGGTCCACTGCCAAAACCCTAGTCCAAACACTGACCGTCGTTTAGGTTTCAGCAATGCCTTCCTAACTCCTTTCTCTTGCCCCACTATAGACCATCCTCCACATAACATCCAGAGAGATCTTTCTAAACTATATATCATGTCCGTCATCCCTTTGTTCCCAGCTTAAAATCTTTCAATGACTTTCAATTATAATTACAATGAAATTCAAACTCACATGGCCATAGAGAGCCCCTGGATCAGAAGAATCAACATATCCTGGAACTTGTTAGAAACACAAATCTTTCAATGACTTTCAATTATAATTACAATGAAATTCAAACTCACATGGCCACAGAGAGCCCCCCGGATCAGGAGAATCAACATATCCTGGAGCTTGTTAGAAACACAAATTTGGGGGCTCTATGCTAGACCTACTGAATACTGAGAAGCCTTTTCTGTGATTCTGATACATGCTAAAATTTGAGAACCACTGATCTACAGATTCAATGTAATTCCAATACAACCAAATAATTTACCTCCTTTTGCTGAGTCAGTAAAGCATGATTTTTATCTTAGCAAGCCTTTAAATAAGGACTGAACATAGAAGTATTTTCTACTGAATTTTCATTTAATTAGAAAAATATAAGAATAAAATAATCTAACTCTCTGAGAATTTCAACTAAATTTACCAAAAATTATATCAGAGTTTCTCATGTAATTATGTTACAAGGTGAGTTTTACAATATTTGTCTGGCTGCTTTTAAAATACAGAAGAGTCAAACAATTATGCTATTTGCATGTGTTCATAAATAATACTTACAGTATTAAGTAAGGCATCATATACAGCATTCACAAATTTAGCATTAATCCCAGAGTCTTCGATAGTATTAAACGAGGCAGAGGCATCTTTCTGCAAATTCAATTAAAGAACCAAGTGTATATAACATTTTAAGAACTAATCTAAGTAATATCTGAACCATAACTATTCCTACATAATTTCTAATATTCCTAGTATGATGATAAAAAAGGACTGTCAGGGCAAGATTGCTAAAAATAAATATATAAGGGTTATTTTAATAACTTTCTTTTTTAAAACTGAAAGAATGGAGTCAAACATTAATATTAGTACAAATAAAAACAATCTTTAAGATATCACTTAAGTAATACTTATTTGTGATACATACAATTTCAGAATTAATATCTATTTATGTTTGCTTAAACAGCTGCTTAAGCCAATACTGGGTAGAAAAAGAAGTTAATTTATAGTATCTTTTTTTGGAAAATTTAAACTAAAAGTGAAAAATGTGCTTTATGTATCATTACCTTAAATGCAGCATTTAGTTCTGGGAAAGAATCAAACATTGTGAGATAAAAATCATGTACTGTTTTCCAATCTCCTGATGACTTAGCTTTTTCTACATCTTCCCTAAAATAAAAACATTTATTAGCCATAACAGATAAAAATGTTATTCAGATAAAATAGCATTAATTCTTTATAGATAAATGTCACCCAACATGCAACCTGAAATAATGAAGCTGAATACAGAAATATGTTCCAGTTAATGTAAAGGTAGCTTATGAATTTATAATTCTTAATTGCATTAAGATATTAATCCAGCTTCAACTTCCCCATTTATTTGCTTTTTAAGAAGTTAATTTTTGACATGCTCCTTACAATTATCACTCTTCCGTTCCTTCACTTCAGAGCCAAATTTCTTGACAGATTTTGTTTACATTCTGTCCCTACCTTCTCTTTCCCACTTAGTCCTTCAAGTGTCCATTTGGGTTTTTTTAGTAGTTTTTACTACTAACATGGTTTTTATGATTTATATGTCACATTCTATTATTTTATTACCACCTTTACCTCCTCTTGACTGTTTTTCTTTTTTAAAATTAATTAATTAATTTATTTTTGGCTGTGTTGGGTCTTCGTTGCTGCACGTGGGCCTTCTCTAGTTGCGGCGAGCGGGGGCTACTCTTCGTTGTGGTGTGCGGGCTTCTCACTGTGGTGGCTTCTCTTGTTGTGGAGCATGGGCTCTAGGAGCGTGGGGTTCAGTAGTTGTGGCATGTGGGCTCAGTAGTTGTGGCTCACGGGCTCTAAAGCGCAGGCTCAGTAGCTGTGGCACATGGGCTTTGTTGCTCCACGGCACATGGGATCTTCCCGGACCAGGGCTCAAACCCATGTCCCCTGCATTGGCAGGCAGATTCTTAACCAATGTGCCACCAGGGAAGTCTCTATTGCCTGTTTTGACTCATTTTCTCTTATTTGGTGTCTTTTGCTGTAACATTATCTATCCCTTACTGGTTAATTATATGTTTGTTTTCACCTTCAACTTGAGACATGTAGTCTTTTGTGTCTTCACTCTTGGCTAATACTTTATAATGAGCCACAAGTTCAATTAATTTCTCACACAAAAATATTAAATTATGTAAAGTGCTGACATGCAGATGACTATGTGTCTACATGTAACAGTGAGCCGAAACTTACAGAAAGTCTTTCATAGTTTTTGGCTGAACGGGAAGGATGGGTTCTGGAAGAACTGGGGTCTTCATTTCAGATGATAAAGCATCTGTAGAGGTGCGCTGTTTCTGTCTAACATCAAGGCAAATTGGTGGTAGGTCTCTCACTGTGAAGGATAAAAAAGTTTTCAATGTAATTGATCATAAAATCTTTCCAAATTATAAAATGCCAGGCTAACTCAACATGAACAGAAAAAAACGGATTATTTTGTATTGCATTCCCTTGGGATCATATAACAGAAAAACCCAGCACACTGAAGGGCACTTACTGGAGGGTCTGTTGCCACCTACCCAACTTCACCCATAGCAGATAAATTAGGCTGTATCTGACATTAAAAGTTATCTGTAGATACAATACCGAGTTTTTCTTTCATCGCCTCCCTTCCCATAAATTTTCTTTCAGGGATTATTTCAGTGAGACTAGATGTTTTTAGTGTTTATTAGCTTTTGAATACACCTGCCCCTTTAATGATGTGGAGTTTGGGCACCGATCCCCCATGTAACTTTACAGTTGGCCCTCCACATCTGTGGTTCAGCATCTGCGGATTCAACCAAACACAGATTCTGTAGTACTATACTATGTATTTATCGAAATTTATTGAAAAAGTCAGCACATTAAGTGGACCCACCCAATTCAAAACCATGTTGTTCAAGGGTCAATTGTGTCTGTGCATCATTTATTTACACCCTCTGCAATTCTTTATTGGAGATTTAGCATTTTATCATCAATTTGCATGAACATTTTATGTATTTTTCTTTTTTTCCAAATATCCGCCAGTTCATCGTTTGCCTTTTTGTTGCATTTTATAACCTTTTAATTGTAAAATAAAACAAACACAGAAAAATCTCACAAAACAAATGTATGGCTTAATGAATTACTATAAGGCAAACACCTCTGAAACCACTAACCAGTCAAGGAATAGTGCTACCAACCCTTTCTTGTTCTGCCTATTCTAATTTTAATTTCTCTCAATTTCTTTTTATCTCTTTCCTCATTTCTTTTTAAAATTTTAAATACTTCCTTCTTCTCATCTTCTAGTTCTCTTAAGGCATTATCTGTTACATTTGTTTGCTTTTGTGTTCCTTCTAGTTTATTTCTAAAATTTAAAAAAATCTAATTATTTCCTTTATTGTCACCTCACTTTTCATTTTTTGCAATTCTGATTTATGGCATTCTTTCAAGTGTCATATCATTTTCTTAACGAGCTTTAGCTCATTTTGAAATAGTATTTTATCTACTTTTGTGGGCATGTGTTTCTGATGTGCTCCCATTGTTCAAGAGGCTGTTATTCTGTTTCTTATTCTTTTTTATTATAATACAATTTTGTAATTAAAAATTATAGAATTTGACCTTGTTTCTTTCCTCTAGCCAATTTTATTTGAAATTCATCTTCCCAAACTTTCAGAAGGAGGTGTAGCACCCCCTTTTTTTGTTTTTTTTGTAGAACTCAAATACATGGTAGCTTCTTTCTGGGATTTCCAGGCCCTGTTTCCCTCTTCCACTTCTGTTCAGGTGATCTCTGTCTTTAATCTTTATTGTCCCAGTGATGCTCAAATTTGATTCTAATCTCAGAATGCGCCCCTCCGCCCCCCTTCCTGGAAGGGATCCCTAGTTTGGAGAATTCACAGGGGTTACCTGCTCCCTTCAGATCTCAGCATGGGCCCTCTGCATTCACCTGTTCTTGGCAAAACCCCTCCCAGTTTCAGCTTTTGTTCTCAAACTGGGCTCCTGAGCTTTCCAATGAATACCTGTTGCTTATTCATTTCTTTTCTTTTTTTTTAACATCTTTATTGGAGTATAATTGCTTTACAATGGTGTGTTAGTTTCTAGTTTATAACAAAGTGAATCACTTATACAAATACATTATGTTCCCATATCTCTTGCCTCTTGCATCTCCCTCCCTCCCACCCTCCCTATCCCACCCCTCTAGGTGGTCACAAAGCACTGAGCTGATCTCCCTCTGCTATGCGGCTGCTTCCCACTAGCTATCTATTTTACGTTTGGTAGTGTATATATGTCCATGCCACTCTCTCACTTTGTCACAGCTTACCCTTCCCCCTCCCCATATCCTCAAGTCCATTCTCTAGTAGGTCTGTGTCTTTATTCCTGTCTTACCACTAGGTTCTTCATGACCTTTTTTTTTTTTATTTCTTAGATTCCGTATATATGTGTTAGCATACGGTGTTTGCTTTTCTCTTTCTGACTTACTTCACTCTGTATGACAGACTCTAGGTCCATCCTCCTCAGTACAAATAACTCAATTTCATTTCCTTTTATGGCTGAGTAATATTCCATTGTATAAATGTGCCGCATCTTCTTTATCCATTCATCCGATGATGGACACTTAGACTGCTTCCATGTCCTGGCTATTGTAAATAGAGCTGCAATGAACATTTTGGTACATGACCCTTTTTGAATTATGGTTTTCTCAGGGTATATGCCCAGTAGTGGGATTGCTGGGTCGTATGGTAGTTCTATTTGTAGTTTTTTTATGTTTTTGGGGGGTACACGGGCCTCTCACTGTTGTGGCCTCTCCCCTTGTGGAGCACAGGCTCCGGACACGCAGGCTCAGTGGCCATGGCTCACAGGCCCAGCCACTCCGTGGCATGTGGGATCTTCCCGGACCGGGGCACAAACCCATGTCCCCAGCAGCGGCAGGTGGACTCTCAACCACTGCACCACCAGGGAAGCCCTATTTGTAGTTTTTTAAGTGATCTCCATACTGTTCTCCATAGTGGCTGTATCAATTTACATTCCCACCAGCAGTGCAAGAGGGTTCCCTTTTCTCCACACCCTCTCCAGCATTTATTGTTTCTAGATTTTTTGATGATGGCCATTCTGACTGGTGTGAGATGGTATCTCATTGTAGTTTTGATTTTCATTTCTCTAATGATTAATGATGTTGAGCATTCTTTCATGTGTTTCTTGGCAATCTGTATGTCTTCTTTGGAGAAATGTCTATTTAGGTCTTCTGCCCATTTTTGGATTGGGTTGCTTGTTTTTTTGTTATTGAGCTGCATGAGCTGCTTGTAAATTTTGGAGATTAATCCTTTGTCAGTTGCTTCATTTGCAAATATTTTCTCCTATTCTGAGGGTTGTCTTTTGGTCTTATTTATGGTTTCCTTTGCTGTGCAAAAGCTTTTAAGTTTCATTAGGTCCCATTTGTTTATTTTTGTTTTATTTCCATTTCTCTAGGAGGTGGGTCAAAAAGGATCTTGCTGTGATTTATGTCATAGAGTGTTCTGCCTATGTTTTCCTCTAAGAGTTTGATAGTTTCTGGCTTACATTTAGGTCTTTAATCCATTTTGAGCTTATTTTTGTGTATGGTGTTAGGGAGTGTTTTAATCTCATACTTTTAAATGTACCTGTCCGGTTTTCCCAGCACCACTTACTGAAGAGGCTGTCGCAGATGACATGATACTCTACATAGAGAATCCTAAAGATGCTACCAGAAAACTACTAGAGCTAATCAATGAATTTGGTAAAGTAGCAGGATACAAAATTAATGCACAGAAATCTCTGGCATTCCTATACACTAATGATGAAAAATCTGACAGTGAAATTAAGAAAACACTCCCATTTACCACTGCAACAAAAAGAATAAAATATCTAGGAATAAACCTACCTAAGGAGACAAAAGACCTGTATGCAGAAAACTATAAGACACTGATGAAAGAAATTAAAGATGATACAAATAGATGGAGAGATATACCACGTTCTTGGATTGGAAGAATCAACATTGTGAAAATGACTCTACTACCCAAAGCAATCTACAGATTCAATGCAATCCCTATCAAACTACCACTGGCATTTTTCACAGAACTAGAACAAAAAATTTCACAATTTGTATGGAAACACAAAAGACCCCAAAGAGCCAAAGCAATCTTGAGAATGATAAATGGAGCTGGAGGAATCAGGTTCCCTGACTTCTGACTATACTACAATGCTACAGTAATCAAGACAGTATGGTACTGGCACAAAAATAGATCAATGGAGCAGGATAGAAAGCCCAGAGATAAACCCACACACATATGGTCACCTTATCTTTGATAAAGGAGGCAAGAATATACAGTGGAGAAAAGACAGCCTCTTCAATAAGTGGTGCTGGGAAAACTGGACAGGTACATGTTGCTTATTCTTAAGCTCTCTTGTTCTCGGGTCCATCAAACAGCCCAGATGCTTTCTTCTGCTTACACCATAGAGATCTTCTGATTTGGGTGATCTGTCCTGCTGTCTTTTGGGGCTTATAGGAACATCTTATGAGCTAATTTTATAGTAAATGATGTCCATGATGTTTAATTCTGCTATATAAGTGGTGTGCATGTTTCATTGGGGATTCAGGGAGATTAAAAAACAATGCTGCTTCTCCTGCTACCTTCACAAAATCTTTTTGCCTTTTAATTTTATTTCTGAAAACAGAAAAGTATTTAAATAATACTTGTATTAGTTTAATTTTATCAACCTATTCCTTTAGTATTTTTTATGATTAGTAAGCCAAGCCTTCCCTCTCTAGAGATCAGATAACCTTTTATCTATTTTAATTTGTTTTCTTCATTATAGTACTTGTGAAGGATACACTCACCACATTGCCTGGCAAAGAGTAAATGCTCAATAAATGTTCTCTATCATTTCTAGAATTTATTTTATTATATAAGAGGTAATACAACATAAAATATAAGTATTTTTTCCTAAATGGCCCATTTCAGAATATCATTTATGAAAGTATGTCATTACACAATGTTTTTTGATACTCTTACCATATATTAAGTTCTTTTATATACGGGGGTCTATTATTGGGCTATGCATATGATTCCACTGACCTGTTTATTATTGTACCAAACAATTTCAATTACTATAGTTTAATAATATCTATCAATACCTGGTAAGGCAGTAGGCTTGGTGAGAGATGGTTGGTGGCTGGGGCCAGAGTGGTGGTAGTAGAACTGATGAGAAATGGTTGAATTTGTGACATATTCTGCATATAGAATTAATAGGATATGCTGTTGGAAGGTATATTGGCAGAAAGGTAGAAATGCCAGAATCTGTTAAAAGAAAGATGAGCCAAAGATGACTGATAATTTAGCCTCACCAACTGGGTGAACGGTG